AGGCCACGCCCACCGCCGCAATGGCGATCCACGATAGAATCGCCGCCTACCCCCTCCCCCTCGCCCCCTCCTCCACAAAACGATTTAACCTCTTGAATATTCACATTTTTACACAACCGAAGTGATGAGGGATACTTCACCAACTCTAAAATAACTCTGAAATGACTGTCCACCCTCGTTTGCTTACTTTCCGATCGCCCTAGTTCGCATTCTCTCTTGTAGCGGAGCAGTAAGCCTTAGCGAGCATTCCAACACCCTATGCTACAAAGCTGGCACAGGGCACTGGGTAGCACATGTGAAAAGCTTTGCCGGAATTCGATCCCTCCATTTTCTTTTTCGATACAACTCCCTTTTGCAACCTACCTACCATCTTCCCAAATTTTCTCAAAAATTTGGCAACGAGCAAGGGAGGAAGTAGACAGCCCCCACCAACCACAAGTGATGGATAGTGCTTTGGCAGCGCTGTCAACAAGGGGAGGAGAGGATGGGGAGCCAGCAATCAGAAAAAGGCATTCTACGGCGAAACCGGACTTCGTCTCCACAACAGCCAACTATGAAGTCCCGCTGGGCCAGCTCCAGTGAGACCCAGCTGCTAATGGAACCGAGCTTTCGCGGGAAGCGGCACCTAGGATGCCAACTTAAGCCTGTCCATCTACCGTACTTGTTTACCGGACTCTCCAGCTCTCGGATAAGTGAACTCTTTATATTTCAACAAATAGTAAATAATCAATAACAAAAACAAACAGTAACTCCAAACGATTCAAAGATCACATTTGACAGAAATGATCTTAACAGCTAAACACATGCTGGGCGTGTCCGGGAGGGTGGGTTTGACGCGGCGCGAACCAGTTCTCCACCAACTGTTATCGCTTGTCCCACTTCAACAATTGGCTGGCGCTGCGCCAGACCCATCCTCCTTGACACTCCCCAGCATCCACAACAACTGCAACAACGCTTTTTACCTATGAGACTGGCTGAATAGTCGAAAAGGAGTCTCACATGACATGGGCATGCTAACGTGCTCGCCACGAAGTCTTCTTACCAAATGTAAATCTCTGGGAAACAGAGTGACTCGTCGAGCGTGTATTGTGGCTAGATTCGCGTCTTCAAATAAACACGTGAGGTACACTTCAGCTGCTTCCTGAATGGAACACGTACACTTTCAGGTGTGAAGCTTTACTCCCCCCTCGTTGCGGCATCGCTGTACGAGTTGTCTTGGGAGTTGGAGTCGACGCGCAGCGCCGCTGAGATGACAGGGCGCTGCGACGGTAGTGAGAGGGTCTCCTAAGTCTGACCATGTCAGCTCGTACTGCTATGCCGCGACTGGGAACTAACCCCCACACCCTGTATTCCCGTACTAAGCATGTAAATTTGAGATCATTTCTACAGATTATTTGACGGCATTGGTTCCATATAATTAGGTTTGCTATTTATCACAGATTCAATGTGAAAAAAAACCCGATTTGCGCAAAGCCTCTTCATCTCGGGACCACGCCCATCTCCGCAAGCCACGCCCATCGACAGGGTTCGCTAGAAAGAAAGCAAATGCGGAAAGGTATGATGAAGACGATCCATATTTCCTTACTGGACTGTGAGACAGTTACGCTCCGCATTATCCGTGGGGCTCTAAGATAGGACCCGCATGCTCTTCCCCTCAAGGAGAAGGGATCCCCAGTGACCCTGCGCTCAATCCGTCATCTCTGACGATGCCACTGTCTCTGTGGCTCTCACCGCTCCGCATCTCTATTCTCTAGCGCAGCGAATATAGGGCGAAGTATAGTGGATAGTCGCGCGGCAACCTACCTCGGCACATGTCGTGTCGCTGGGGATACTGGGAATGCAGACAAGCAGAAAGTCTAGAAGCGGATAGACGAGGGGTATCGGCAGGGATAACGACGGAAAGCAGAGCTCTATTGAAGGGTATCTCCTCTTCGTGAGGAAGTATAGCACGCGTCCTCGAGACACAGGACCAATCTGTCTGTTGTGCGACCATCCTCGAATGCACATTTGGTCTCGATGCCCAGGGCTTCCAATGTGTCTATAAGACCCTCTCCGATTCCCCGGGAAAGAGTACGTCTACCTCCTCCGCGCTTCTCACCGTTGTAGCAATAAAACTTCTACATATATTGTACCTGTAGGGCTAACAGTGCATTCGACTGCCATCTGTACTCATCCTTCAAGCCTCGTCGAGCGAGCACCTGTAGATAGTATTATTAGCAGGTTCACCACCATGGAAGGCATACTTTTCGGCAACATAACTTGGGTCAGTTTTCGTTATGGATTGATTTATTCCTCCTATGAAGATGGCCAAGACTTAGTCTGGGTTTAACAATTTCCCAAACATCGATAAAAATTACCCTCAGAAAAGCGCACAAACCACGCTCATACCGGAGACCGCGCCCCTCAGTTGATGGCTACCAGGGCGAAGTTCGGCCTGTCGTGAGCACCGCATGGTACTCAGCCTGCACAAGCCATTTTGTAAGAACCTGTATATTCTTGTAACCAAAATTGTTCATTTGTACTCCCTCGCATCTTCAGACGAGTTTACAGGTCTCACCAGAATGAGACCTGTTAGCTAACAGGAACTAACAAAAGGCACTAGCCAAGGTACAACTTGTCCCTACCAATCCGAACAGCGCCTAGAAAAGACATATTTGCGAATTATTATGACAAAGGTACCTTCGGATTTCCGGTAATGGGGAGGGGTGATCATAATGGGGCAAAACGAGAAGGGGAGAATAACAGGGAATTTGTACCAGCACGACAGTTCGACTTAACCGCTGAAGTTACAGCCCATATCTCGGCGTTGGAAGGGACGTGTCATAGTTGTAGGCGTGGCTGCGGTAGATAGTTGGCGCTTCAAGCATGGCCGTATGTACAAAAAAAAGCTGGTAAGAAATCTTTGGTGCGCCTCACACCCCTCCCTGGCTGATTTCCGTTTTAGGTGTTGTCTCCCAAAGTTACAGGTTGCGATCCCTGCGAACGATAGGGCGTGCGAAGGAACGAGTTGGATCGCAACGAGAACGGCCCTTCTCGCCGATTGTTGCGGGCTCAGGATGTTAGACGGAAAGTTTGAGATGAACGAGAAACGGCTTCTTCGCTATTAGTTGGGGGGCTCAGGATGGCAGAGTGGCTGGAATAGGCACGCCTTGGTTAGCGCTCCAACAAAAGCCAGTCACATAATTCGTTTTGCAGGGATAAATGACTGTACCTTGCGGAGGATAGTGCCCATGTAGCAAACAGAAATAAATAATAAAATAAAAAATAAGCAACCTCTGGCAACATCGCGGACCATACGTTGAAACGCCAAACGTGGGATGAGAGTTTCAGTTGTCCGTTGAAGGTGAATGATTTCTCGTAGGGCTTTCACTGCCAGCTCTAGGAAAAAGCAGCTATCAGTGGATGAACGCATCAACATCCATCGCTGGGAAGCACACCCCTAATAAAAGATAAACGATCAGGAACAAAACCTGCTCAACATCAGCCGTTATCTCGGCGATCATGCGGCCGTCGGTCAGGATGTCCACAATGCGGCCACCAGTCATGTTGGCGCCGCGTACTGACACCACGACCTAACATGTCTGACGTGAAAGTCGAGCAGTACGTATGTAGGCCCTGACCTGCTATGAAATACTAGCTTGTTGCTACTATGGAATACCATCCTTGCTAAAATACTGGCTGATCGGGAGGGGGAACGCTGACTGACGCAGCGGGCACTGTATTTGGAGAGCAGCATTTCGAAGTAGTTACCTCACAAATGTAGTTTTCAGTATCAGTTAGATTAATTCGATTTCCATTATGCTCTCGAATTTTTCATATTTAATTCCGATATAATAGTTCATGCCAATTGGGCAGCGTTGAAACTTTCCGATGACGCGCGTCGACGTGCTGCAAAGCGAATTAACGCGCGACGACGCGAAGTCTGCATGCTGCCTTACCCCTGCATTCAGCGCCGCAACGCAGCCGCCTGCAAGTGCTTGCAACCTCACATCTTCCCTTTCCCAGGTCGAACGACATTCGCAAGGCACGTCGTGCGTTGAGGATCCCCAGCGAGGTCCTGACGCTAGAGCGAGGAAGGGAGCTGTATTCGGTTAGACTA